AATACAAAATCATGTGCTCTGGGCCATTGCAGATTACATGCCTACAGTTAATCTCAAAATTGTAGGGGATTTATTCCTGTGGCTCGAAAATTTTCTTCCTGACCACACAAGAAGGATATTACAAAATGTCTCTCTTTTACTTGTTATGTTTCTCTTGTAGTCAGATGTAATTTAATCATATTTGACAGCACCTAGCCTTTATAATGCAATCAAAGCACCAAAAAAGTTTTTCAACATCTCAACTGAGAGCTTATTTCTAAAAAGCGACAAGTGTTAACAAAGAAAAGGACATGGCATACTCTAGCAATTATCCATGACATTTATTGGAAAGTATGATCATTCAATCAATTGTTCTTTAGCCTTCAAATTACATCAATGATAATAGATTACATTGAGTGGTCGTGTATCAAACTGATCAGTTTTATTCTGATTTAGATTTGGGTAGGGGATTTGATTCTCCCAAATGTAAAAGCCTAAAATAGAACAAATAATATTTTTTCTTTTGTTCTGATCTGAAATTAGATAAAATAATGGGCGACGTGTTAGTTCGTTACATACTTATGGGCTTTCGTCTGCTATGAACAAGGTTGTCATGCGACAATCATCTTTTGTTAATAAACATGGGGGAATTAATTTATCTTGCAGACTCTATAATGGGCATGGACTATCTTACTTGCTCGACTGCGGGTGGTATTGACCGGGACAACAAAATGGCGATGCCTGCATTTTGATGAATAATTAATTCAATCGGTCTAGCTGCATGTAGTGTCTCAATCTAATGGGCTCCCTATGTTAGGATAACATTGTCTGATGAATGATCGTCCAAGTTGAAATGATTAGAAACAGGCCTGCCTTTCTTTAACTTGATATCTAATCCATGAGCATTAAAACGAGTAGGTAGAATATGTTTAGTTTCTCCTACATATTGTTCGGGACATTTTCTACATGAAATTAAGTAAATTAAATTCGAGGTTTCACATGTTAGATGCTCCTAGATCGGGTACCTTTTCTTCGTAGAGTTACTTATAAAGAAGTGAGTTTCTGATATAAAGGGACAAATATGGGACAGTCCTTAAACTTAAGTATTTCGACATTAAATCTGTTCTTGGCTGCTATCTCCGCTAAGGTTGAACTTTTTATGTTTCGTAAAAGTCTTCTATACTACCCACGCTCTTTCAGTTTTGAGAAAACAATCGTGCAAGCTTGGTTGAAACCCATTAATCTTGCGTAAATTCGATGAAATAGTAAAACATGTGACTAAATTATACTAGAAAAGGTATGTTTTGGGTGAAATGAGCTCTTGTGCAAAAGTTGGCGAGTATTCTTTTTTTTAAAAACAATATTTTATTAATACATTCAAGGGATTGGGGAACAGGCTTATGCCTATATAACCCCTCTCCAAACGACCATAAAACAATGGGTTAAATGGACAAAGGGGTAATACATCACGTTCTCACTCTGCCATGAAAAGGTTTGCGTTGAAGGGGCGAAACGCTTGCCTATAACATTCCCTGAAGTTTACAGATATGTATAACCATATAAAATTGCGACATTTGCAAATCTCCAGGAGATGTAGAATTTCAGTGTTATCGATATCAGTTTACACAGACGACGCATCAATGGAAATCAAGATTGCATTCGGAGGAACTCTAAGGTCGTTGATTTAATTGTTGTCCGTTTTCATTAGCCCAATTAGGTGCGGAAGAATAGGGCGTAAAACTCCATTCCATTTCATTTTCATTTGTAATAAAACAAAATTCAACACCTTCGTAACATCTGAATCGAAACCTACACGAACCATTCATCACTTGGCTGTAATTTGAAGATGTTAAAAAAGTAATTCCATATATCAATACTAAATACTATACATTGACAGATGACATCCAAAACTTATATTGATTACTCTTATGTCGTGGCTTTTGTTATTTTACTTAACTTCAGACGAATATTTGTTCAGAAACAATAATTCACGCCTGTAAGATGAGGATTGATTACCGACCAACTGTAACTCGATGGATCGCCAGTAAAACCTAGCCAATGAAGGCCAATATGATTCGCCCACGAGTTTGACCATTTTTTAAGATTTACTTACAAGAGCCTTTTTTAATGCTACCCGAAGAAAATTTAGATAATGAAGCTTTTATTCTGTAACTTTAAATGCCATTGACTTTAAAACAACCAGCAGATCTATTAATAATTTCAACCAAGACATTTAGTTGAATTGTCTGTATTCATATCACTCAATGTCATTGACTGATTTTTCTACAGAATACATCGCAATTCCATTTTGTTTTCATGTTCCTGACTAGCACCTAGTTAAAATAAACCTCCCCGTACCAGACTCACCTATAATAAACAGTAGATTTTTCTAAGAATTAACCAAATAGATTTTGGAAAATTATCAAGGGGGCTCATAGGCAATTTCATCACTATGTAAAACAAATATTTGAAAGTGGGCCAAAAGCCAGAGCAACCTTTTTTCTTTTCCTTTTTTTTAGTGGAAACACTACTGGTGTCAAACAGTACTTTATCTGACATTGTGCACCATGAGATTATTCTATGGGTTTGTCTATTGTCAGTGAAATATAATAAATCATAAATAATATCATTATATTTCTTAGACTGACTGATTCATTATACACATCCTGATATAACACATAGGCTTTATAACAAAAATAATATTCAGTCAATAACGAGATGGCTTGGGAACTTAAACTTATAGCTGTTGTTTTCTTCAACTGTCTCTGTGGACTCTCTGAGAGGGATGTAGAGAGGAGAGTGGCACCAAGTATGTGTGTCTGGAAGAGTGAGCAAGTCCTGTCTTAGGCTCAAAGATTTTGTAACTTAAGCTTTCTGTCAAAACAAATGTAACCTTTAAGATTCCCCCGATATTAAAGGCCAGAAAACCTTTTTGAACAGCGCAACGAGATAAAGCCGATGGTAGTAAGAATGTACGCGTTAACAAGGCAACGTAACAAGATGAAGTTAGAAACTGCTGTTAGCTTGATTATAGTAATTATCTATTACGTGTGGCTTAACTTTATAGCGTTTTTATAGTATAAACGGTTTGAGGGCACATTAAACTTTCTGCATTTATTTCATTGAAAGCTATTGAACTTGAGAATTAATATAATTTGTGCAAGAAACCGTACAATTTTAATACTTTGTTACTTTTGTAATGTTGTATAGAGTCTTCAGAGAAAAAGTATTGGCATTTTGAAAACTTGAATTCAACTTTTATCATTTCACACCTGAATACATTAAGAATTTGATCGTTAGCAATCCAATTTACTTACAACATATGTCTAGGTTACAGGCCCTCCTAAATGTCTTTATTTTATGCCCACTCAGTTTATATAAATGTCATGGCAAATCTAGGTGAAAAATCTGTCTTTATTACAGCCTCTGATAGCTTTTTGGACAGATGTCAGCTGGTGTAGAGACAGAAAAAATAGCCCCTGTTAAATGGTTATATTCCGCATCTTCGCAGGTGCGGTGGTTTTAAACCTATTTAGATACATCTGATCTGCAAAACCTAGATATATTTAGAAAGATGAATATTTTTGTAGTTCAGTCATATACCGTCATTTTCTCCCTACACCTTTTATGTCACGTCTCCGGTTCTATCAAAGTTTTGTTTTTAACGAAACCGATCTAGCTTCGACCATGTCACGTGATACTAACAAAAGGAAAGTTAAGATGATGTCCAAAACTAATTTACAATTATCGTCAATATTATGTTAAAACGCATCTTTAGAGGTGTGGAAAATCTCCATTTAAAAGAGTATTTTATTTCTGACTCTACTCCAGCTGACACCTATCAAATATCCATCAGAGGCTGGAATAGAGGAAGATGTTTCGGACCAGGTGAAACATTGCTCGGGAATTTTGGATTCAGCTGCAGTTAAGCGTTAAACTGCATTCGATGGTCGACTAAGATCAGATGAAACTTCGAGAGGAAACAGTAAAAGCAAACTGATAAAGCTTGACTTTAAATACTTTAAGTGATATATTGAAGGGACTGATGCGGAATTTTCGAGAGTAAAACATACATTGGTTTCAGAAACGTGAATTGTTCCGCTAAACTAATCCGTAATAATGTTAACCATCGAAATTTGAGCCTTCCAATCCAAGACAGTGTACCCATAATTGTTTTATACTGAGCGCGACCGCGGCCATTGCGACTTTTTGCGCGACCTTTCGCACGGATCATCGTTCGTATTGAAAGCGTAATAGGCCTTTAGGTACATCGTTTCGTTTCTAAATTCATAGGTATACTAACCTGTCATGCCTATAGACTGTGATATTTGTTTCCATATGTATTTCTTCTTGTCGATATCTTTGAAGTCCCTGCGACTTTTATCATAAAGAATAGGATGCTTCTCGATTAGCAAAATGTCTGTTTTGTCTCCTGACATGACGAAGCCGTCTGAGAGAGTGAACTGGCAGACAACTTTGACCTCACACTCTGATTGGCTAATGTAAATAGTTAGCTCGGTCTTTTCCCAAAAATTCGCTCTGAAGGCAATCTCCGCGGTTTTCGCGAACAAAAACTCGGCGGCATTTGCGTTCGCCTCTAGTATAAACGACCATATACAAAATCAGGTTAAGCAATCCAATGCGAACGCCGCGTTCGCGGTCGTAGTCGCGCTCCGTATAAACGGACCTTTATAGTCGTGATTTTAAGAGACTTTATTTTGAATCATGTGTATACAGCAGACTAAATCATCCTGTCCCACTGCGAGGGAAGATGTCTCGGTGTTAGAGAATATATTAATAAAATTTGCAACTTGTGAACGACATAAATAAAAAGTAAATTTATTGCTTGAGATCTACTTGAATAAATGATGCGATTTCGTACAGTTTAAGTAGTTCTGAAGACAATTTACATATATTCAAGGTCCAAATCAAACCTCGGAAATGTCGCATCGGAACCTGACGTAAATCATTTGTTCTGCACTTGTATTCAGGCCAAGAGTATGACCTAAATATACTGTGTACTATATACCACAAAACCACCATTTAGGAAGATAATACCTCATTCTACTTTCTGTGTGTCTCCAAGCTAAAGATAATAGTGATAGACCGGAAGATCAGGACCTAACCCATAACTAAGAGCAACTGGTATATCTGATAAGTATCAACCTGGAGGCTTGTATCGATTTTTATCTTATTTCAGATCCTGTGGATATGATACAGATTAACGCAAGGAAATTGTCTAATTAACTACGATAACGAAGAAGATCTACTAAATTACTAAACCATTCATGTTTGGGCATTTTAGACTCTCAACTCAACCCGATACATGAAAAAATTCAAACGTACTTTAGGCTGTGTTCTGTCAAAATCGTCCGTATTGATAGCTTCTTGTCATCTTCATTAGCCTAACCAGGATCAGAAAAGTAGGACTTAAACTTTAATCTGATTCTATCTGATTATAGAATACCAAATCATTTGGATACAGAATAACCTAGTGCTCTAATGTGTTTTTTAAATATCAAGAGAAAGTTGTCAGGACTTAAAATCGCCCTATGGTCAAGTTTGTAAATCTTACAAGTCGGAATTGATAAAGTTCAAAATATTAACTGAAAACTCCTCGAAACCATAACAACAGAAATGATAGACCTACTGCCATAGATAATATTCTTTCAGCAAAGGTATTCTCTTGGAAAAGTCCTTTCACCTCAAGGGAAATACAGAGATTCTGAATTTGATTATAGGAAATTAGCAGCGTATTTCATGTTCATTTATTCATTGATAGTATTAATAAAGATGTATCACAGAGGCCATCATGCTTCTAAGTAAAAGAGACTTCCATAGATGAAAGTGTTAAAAGATCCGTTGAAAACCGGGGGTCGAGTGGGAGGCCAGACACCAGACTAACCTTTAGAATGCATCACAGATTTTACACTCCTACTCATGCTTCAGATAGATGATATCGTTGAAGAGGTAGTCGAATATGATTCTTTACGAGATCGTGTAGATATTATACGAATGATTGATATTGTTATTGCTTCTTTCGAAACGATTAATTCATTCATTAATATGCAAATATCTGTACGATCTAACAAAGAATCAACGGCTGAGTAATATGTAAGAGCACCATGGAATTGCAACGATAGTTTGAAAACAAAAGTGATAGAATTTTGATGCGTTAGGAAAATAGCCCCTTGGGCGACCAACAGGCGAATTCGAACTGGCTACCCCAACAGACCTGTATTGCAGTATGCCTAAAGCTGGATGTTTACTTCTGACAACATAATACGCTTGCATACGCTCGATGCCAGACTTATTCAGCGTATAGGTTTATACTATGGATGTTAACTAATTGGTCCAACGAGCTTTCTTAAAGAAAATCGCGTGTACCTGCGGAAACATTTGGTATCTACAACCTCAAGCTCTCGCACAACGTGCGGAAGGGTCTGTCGGCAGCTAAACATTTTAACTTTGGGATATGTTCTAATAGCTGTGTTTAATTGTGGCCTTCTACAATCTTAACACGTTCAAATTAATCTGTTAAATCGACTTTAAGAATAACTTTAATAAGTTTAATTCAATATCTAAAGACATCACGAACCATTAATACTGAAATCGTGAATTTTAATGAATTCTAGTATCACATGAAACACAACAGTAAAGAAACCTTTTAGAGAATTAATTCCCTTCTCCGTGTATGTTCTAGACAATCATCAATAATAAAACAACAATATTTTAACACATAAACCCAAGATTGGCGAATTGATGTGATAAACGTTACAATATTCTTTCGCTGTTGAATTGAATGTAATAGCTCTATTCAAGAAATCGAAACAAAATAATGGAATTGAAATGAAATTTGTACAAAAGTTTTCAATGCTAATAAAAATTGATGTCGGCGGTTGTCACTGATAAAAGATAAAACAGCTAGCATTGTGAATACAAAAAGAAATCCTCATATTGGTCTGTAGTCGAGTGAAAATGCACTGTCATCACATCCTTTTTAGGTGGCCTTCGGGAGCAAACGTCAAAGTAAAGCTGGATAGAAAAACACAGATAAAGAAGTTTGTCGTATGAACTGTGGATTACACCTGCGACAATATATTGCTTGTTTCGACTCATGTGTATCGAACTGAAAATTGTTGTTAGTGAGTTGACATGTGTCATATATTTCATATCAATGTACACATCATATTCATTTAAGGTAAAAAAAATTCGTCTATTAGTCTATGAAGTTAATTTTCAAAGAGTCTTGCTTAACTTTTCTGTATTATCACAAAGGGGTGAATGTTGCCAATTTAGAAAGATAACCGTATAACCGGGAGCTTTTACTAGGATAAATACGTTGACGCAGGGAAAGGGTTTCTGTTGTCTGTGACCTGAACACTGCCCTGAAATGACTGCAGTGCTTATAATTTGACTGAATACTGAACTTGTGGACGTATGTGTTTTTTGTATGTTCCACATGGAATTGGGATTGCCTAGTTGTGCTTGCGACATACCCAAACCCAAGATAATAATTATGTGGACCCTTATCTGAGCGTCGGATGTGACGTCATTCAAGAGAAAGCCTTCGCATTCCTGTGATATTGTGACTTAGGTTTCGGACGTAGCACTTACCTGAATACTGCAACCCAACTTCTCTAGAAAGTAACTGTTCTATATCGACTCCTTCGTCTACTCTAAAATAGTCCTGTTCAATGACAGGCTGTACTGATAGCAAATCGTAATGCAGTGCTTCTGTGAGCAAATGACAAAATCCCGTCACAATGTAATCTTGCCCGGACGAATCATACAATAACTTTAATCTATTCCATTTAAAAATTGTTAACACGTTTACAACTAACATAGATAGGGTTTGGAAATTGATAGGACCAACGCGGGTCAACATCCCATACGTTGTATTTTTATACATGATGAAATCCCGGGCCATAGCACCACCAGAAATCACAGGCAGGTTCCAAAACATCACTTGTCGAGCAACTGGTGCCACAGCAAAATCACACACGGGGCCAAAAAAGGCATCGACTTGGTTATACATATAGAATTCTATGGCATGGTTTATGCCGAAAGCTATGTCGCATTTCGTATCCGCATATCTGACCGATAAATTATTTACTGTATACATTGGATTCTCAACAATCTTTTCGATTGCGAGAGAGATAGCAGGTGCTATGTGTTTGACGGAGAATAATCTACTCTCGTCAAATGGTAGTAAAACAGCAACATTAATACTTTTATTTACACCACCGGCACAATATTGTAGCAGAAAATTGAACATAAACAAAGATATGTGGAATTCCATTTTTATTTTTCACTTAAAAATTTCAAATCCTAACTGAATTTCACTTTATGTATTTCCTTTTTAGCACTAAAAGATTTCTTAATTGCTAGATTCCATCAAACATTCCTTATTATTCCTATAAAATAACGATAATTCATCATATCCCAGAACATATAGTACTGCAGCTAAAAGCTCATTATATATCTATTATTGCGTGACACATGATATTTAACTCTACAATGTTGCTTTTATGAAACAAATGAAACTTTTAAAAAACGAACCATCTTCACAATATTCAAACCGACTCTTGTCTATCTCCATTGATCTTGTGTCTTTCGTGAGAAAAGACAACGTTTAAGACACAGAAGTAAATAAGCTTCATAAGACTTCTTTTATATTGATGTTCAAGAAAGGCTAAATAAGTAATCGAGATCTAATTGAGAATCTATGAAGTGCCACAATACATTCCGTGTCACTTTATTGTTAAACTCTTTAAGCAGACGACATCAACATGAAGAACTGGGTTGCGTTCGTTTTGTCCAATAATTAAAAGGCGAGTAGGTTCTATTGATTGACTCTTGAGTTTAAATACTCAATCATGGATGTCACACTATGAAAATGAATTAGTGGGAGGTTGTAAGAAAATTGAACGGAGCTCTCGTGTAAATCTATGTATTTATTTTCCGTTTCGGATTACGTACAATTATATAAACGTAAAATATTTTCATAATATGAAATTTCTTCTATTTTTTTTTTACAAGACATTGCCATTTTCAAGTCACACTCGCTCAGAGGCCAGCTGGACATTGCGACAAGCCGAATATCAGAGCAACTGCGAGCAACTAACTGGTATCTAGAAAACTGACTAATGTATTAATTGACAGCTATTGTGACGTTATTGACCCTCCATCCTCCAAGACACAAAAATATGTACTCTTTAAGCTTAAATATGACAATTTCAATGTTAGAAGACGCCATTTCGATAAAAGTGATTGCTCATCCACAAAGACATCACACTTTTCCAACTCAGTATAGGAGAAATATTATAAATAACTTGAAACCGACAGGTAAATCAAGGGAAAATACATCTCCAGTTAAATCCTTAAACCAGACCAATGGAAATGCCAGTTTCTAGAAGATTAGGTTCCTATGTACATACACGATGATGACAAAATAATGCTTAAATCAACATCAATTAAATTTAGTAAGATACTGAATCAAAATTTAAAATGCCCCAAAATATGATTTTGATATGAAAATTCTATCTATTGTATAGTTTACGATGTAACTTTGCTGTTAGCAATAAGAATATAGCAACATAATGGATGATCAATAACAAATTTTTACACACTTTACAATACAGATGTATATATAATATAATATATGCTATACAATGTATAATATATATTACATAAAATATAAAATTTGTTAAGTCACTCTTATTTTGATTACGCACATAACACACTATTTTGTAAAATATGTCAATATAACGGGACCGAGCAACGGTTCTGTACCTACAATTTGAACATTTATTGAACTGGCTACATTTTCTATATATTTCCTGGGCATTAGAATGGAGGAAATATCTAATTGACCTTGTATAATGAAACATAGCAATGACTATTCCGATTCAAGTGGATTCTAATGCATGTATCTTCCGTTTCGATTGAATGGAACCTAATTGGCTTTAATTAGCAATATACTGGGTTTTTTTTTTGGTTGTTGTTGTATTATTTAAGGGTTTACATTATAATCTTTCAAATGATTCTCTTGAATTTTGCCAATAGGTTGAACGTAAAACAAGTATCTAATGCTGTGGATCACAATTGGTTCCGAACATTTTTGAAAAAACCCAGCGGAAAAAATGAAATTGATATCATCAAGTCCTGGTGAGTCCAGTCCGTAAAACATTTCATGTATAGTAACAAGATGAAGTTTTAACCCAGAGGAAAAGTGTTCCATGTTATTTAGTCAATTTGCTTTAGAACGTTCCTTTATCGACTACATTATCATTGGGTTTTTTCATTAGAAATATAGAGTAATAATTCATTTGATTATAGGGCGTATTTCTGTTAAAATGTACACCGATTATGCCAAGCTGTAAAATCTATAAACTATTGTACATTGGCTAAATATGTATTCATATAAATAAAAACCATCTTAAAAACGTAAAAATAAAGGCAAAATATATGAAATATTTTGGTGAAATATCATACATTATAGTAATATAAAACATAATGTTAAATTACAACAAAACTCAAAACTATTTGCAAAATTTAACAGTGACACCACTGCAAGCACCAGAGATTTCTGATTGAAAACTGGAATGCGTAAACTGATGTTATCAGTTTTCACAAAGTACACCAATTATGCCAAGCAGTAAAATCAATGAACTAAAGAAAATTAATCCGGTAGATTTGATTTACACTTCCGTGATTCAGAATATGGCTTTTGTACTGATTTTGATCTGGAAATGTAAACTGCAGAAGAACATTCATTTAATTAATTCTTCCCTCTAATAAGTGAACCCAACTCATTGTACGAGTTAATAAAGATCGGACAATCTGTCCATCATTTCTTGACATCCTCACCTTTATTATTTGAGTCCAAACATAACTTCTAATGAATTTTTCGGTATTGTGCTGAATTCTATACATTTGGTGTATGATTGGTGGTGTATGAATGAGAATGACAACATAATAATATTGTGTGTATGTTATATGTGTATAATATTGTGTGTATGTTATATGTGTATAATATTGTGTGTATGTTATATGTGTATGATATTGTGTGTATGTTATATGTGCATGATATTGTGTGTATGTTATATGTGTATAATATTGTGTGTATGTTATATGTGTATGATATTGTGTGTATGTTATATGTGTATAATATTGTGCGTATGTTATATGTGTATAATATTGTGTGTATGTTATATGTGTATGATATTGTGTGTATGTTATTTGTGTATAATATTGTGTGTATGTTATATGTGTATAATATTGTGTGTATGTTATATGTGTATAATATTGTGTGTATGTTATGTGTGTATAATATTGTGCGTATGTTATATGTGTATAATATTGTGTGTATGTTATATGTGTATGATATTGTGTGTATGTTATATGTGTATAATATTGTGTGTATGTTATATGTGTATGATATTGTGTGTATGTTATATGTGTATAATATTGTGTGTATGTTATATGTGTATAATATTGTGTGTATGTTATATGTGTATAATATTGTGTGTATGTTATATGTGTATAATATTGTGTGTATGTTATATGTGTATAATATTGTGTGTATGTTATATGTGTATAATATTGTGTGTATGTTATATGTGTATAATATTGTGTCTATGTTATATGTGTATAATATTGTGTCTATGTTATATGTGTATAATATTGTGTCTATGTTATATGTGTATAATATTGTGTCTATGTTATATGTGTATAATATTGTGTCTATGTTATATGTGTATAATATTGTGTCTATGTTATATGTGTATAATATTGTGTCTATGTTATATGTGTATAATATTGTGTCTATGTTATATGTGTATAATATTGTGTCTATGTTATATGTGTGTAATGTGTGATTCAAATTCAATTGAAACGAGTGCGGCGATGAAATTTTACAGCTTTTACATTTGTATCACACGCATATTCTGCTTTTCTGTAAAATTTACTTTTGGAGCAAATGGTTTTGGAAATTCTTTGAAATTCGCTGAAATCATCATCCATCATAAAATTGGTAGCGGCT